CAACCCTGCCGACAAAGGGCATCCCTGTCTAAGACTACGTTCTATTTCTATTGGGTTTATTCTTTCTCTCCCATGTTATTAGTTCGCCCACCTCTTATAGAGTAACTGTATATGCTCCGCTTGCGGAGCAGAGTACCGCAATGGTGCCATTCTGGAGCCAAGCACTGCGGGAAGACACGGTCGGTTTTTGCAGGGGCACGAAGGCGCGGACGCGAGGAGGCGGCGTGCTGAGGCGTGCTGCGGCGCGCTGCGGAAGGAAAATAGTGCGGCGTGCGGCGACGAGCCGCGCATACACCGTGATCGTTGTCACGTCGTTTCCTGTCTCCTTCCCGCAAAAAGCGCAACCGCGTACGCACCCGCGGGTCCCACGGGTCGCGTGTGAAATGAAGTCGTCAAGTCGCTGTTGCTGGGACGCAGATAGCGTCGTGAGCCCGCTGTGTGCCCAACTTTTTGAGGACCTTTCCCCTCGAGCGATCGCAAGAAGCAAAAGAACGCAGGCCTGCTTATTTTCCTCTTGTGTTTAATCGAAAAGCAAGTGCCGCTGCTCAGCCTGACTTTTTTTTTTTTTTTCAGCAGACAGTTTACTAGGTATTATGTAAACGGAAAGGTGCTTTACCTTCGTGCGTTCCAATTATATGCGAATCTGAGGAATGTCGAGCACCCCCACTTTTATGCTAAAATAATAAACAACTGTTTTTTTTTTTTTCTTTTTTATCTGAAGTTTTTCCCATTTCACGAATTCGAGACGCCCGAATTGAGAGCTCTTGGAGACTGGAAATTTAGCATGCTTCCAAGTTGGGCTAAATTTTGAATTTGCTTGAATCGCAAACATTAGGGGCTCGCGAACAATAAATGTTAGATGGTGCTCCGAACTATGGCAGATGCCGCAAGGTGCAAACTGCCTAATATAAAAAAAGTCCACCGACGTTCTACTGTAATTGCGGATAAGGCTTTGAAAACGCAGTCCAATTCGTTGCAGGGACCAGAATGATGCCGAGATTGACTGTTTTCCTATTGACCAGTTTATTCTGCCCCGAGAATAGGGCGATAGAGCTCTGTCTACTTTCAGTGTGTGACACCAACCTACATCTCGCTTTCTCTTCTATTTTGAACATTTTGCTGAACCTATTAAACTGTTTTACTACCACTGACATGGTCCCTTGAAGAAATTGCGAACAGGCACAGCACTAACAGTCTCTAAAACAAGTTTATCCGCACAACTGCCTGCAGAAATCTTTTGGGGTATTGTAAAAGGGCAGACAATAATTAAAAATGATCTCCTTCCCATACGAGAAAGCCAGACGAGGTGGCGTCTCACATTGTGTCTCGTCGTCGGAATCCGGTACAAGCTTTTGCCACTGTCTGCGCGTATTGTGCACTTGGTAACACTACAGCCTGTCATTTTCACGGGGCTCTTTCTACGCGCATGCAAAATTTAATGCGGCAAACGACGTAGCAGCTGACGAAAACGCGATCCCCACGCTTTCAAACGAGAGCTCGGCGACTCGCCACGATGGCCGGATGTGCCGGTCGCGTACCGGTATCGCGTATCACTCCGCGAGAGCCGCAGACGCGGGGAACGCGATCGCCGTCCGTGTCGTCTGCTTCACATACCCTGAAAGCAAATGTCCCAGAACATCGCTCGCGTTATAAAAAAACGGGATTGTACTGTAGCCAGTTCATACACATAATGTTCAATGACTTAGGAAGCTTTCGCTTCGTTCGATTTTGGTCTAGGATCTATATTTTGCGAACGCCAAGGGGAATATATGTTTCCACCGAAACTTGGCGCTCTGGAAAGCCGCTTTCCCGCAAGAAGTCGGCTCCAGCTCTGCGCACGTGACCACTCCTCCGCCAATACGGAAATGGCGGCGAAAGGAAAAGGAACGCGCTACTCTGGCTCTGCAAGCAGAGCCTATACAGTTACTCTAACCTCTTAGCTCCTGGGGCGCCCTCTAACGCCACATCGCGGTCGGCGGGAATCTCCCGATTTGGCCTCTCTCTTTTTCTCTCAGTGGCTCCGTCGGAGGGGGAACTCTCTTTTCTGGCTTTGTTCCATTTTGTCCTTCATTCATATATATTTTTCCTCCTTGTGAAACGGAGGCACGCCGGCATGGAGGAGGAAGTTGGGGGGAGGGAAACAAGTGCGTAGCGAGCAGCAGCGCGAGCCGGTGCTCGAACGATCTGCACGGTTTACCCTTCCCCCTTCTCCGGCTCTCTTTCTCCTTGCTCCTGGCTTTCTGCTTCCTGGTTACACAATGACGGGGTTGTGCGTGTGTGTTTCTGTTGTTTCCCTCTCGGCGGCTTCCTTCCCTATCTACGAACGGCAGTGCTCGCGTGCAGTCGGTCGATTGGCAGCTGTCGTGCGCCACCTTGGCTGGCGGCATTTCTGTGTTCCCCATTCACCGCTGACCGTGGTGCATGTTCTCGCGTGAATGGAAGCAAGCGCCCGGGCAGAACCAATACCACCTGAGCCCTGCTAAAAAATCTCATTTGTATAGACTTTTTTTCGCAAGGGCGCCGCCATCTTGAATTTTCGTCACTTCCAGTATGGGCGAAAACATTGTTTGGCCGACACCACGCCAATAGCAGACATTTAGGATAAAAGCATAACCGTCACACATTCTCATTTTTCCTCTCTTCTATTTTTTTTTACTATTTACAAGTTAAAACGTTTTAATAATTTTTCGTCGCCCATACCGGATATGCCTATTAGGTGGCATGGGGACGACAGTACACGGAAAAGGTCTATAAGAAATTTCTCGCGTCCAATAAACACATATGAATCATATAAGACATAAGAACGTATAAGAATCACATAAGAACCATATAAGAACTATATAGGATGCATAAGAACATATAAGAACCATATAAGAAACCAGTGAGAAGTTTCTTATAATTTGCTTATATGGTTCTTATATATCTTATATAGTTCTTAAATGGTTCTTGTATAGTTCTTGTACTCTTCCTATATAGTTCTTGTATGGTTCTTATATGTTATATATCTTGTATGATTCATATATGTTTATTGGACACGAGAAATTTCTCATACAAATGGATTTTTCACTAGGGAGGACAATGCCTGCGCGTTTCCTCATCTGAACGTCATCACTAGGAGATCCCCTCAACGCCCCCTAGGTAGCCCGGATAAGCACCTTCGTCTGCTAGATCATCTGCGACATCGTCTGCTCCATCGCCTGCTTCAGTGGTCATGCTCAGAACGAGCTCACATGAATAGGCTGCTAAGATCGTAAATCTTTATGTTGTCGCACGCACGCTGCAAGTGAACTGTGGAAGCTCTCTATCAGCTCGCCCTCAGCACTCGCGCACGCAGCTATGGCCTTTAGTGAATGCGGTGTAGTTGTGGCGTGGCCCCTTATCTCGTCGAGCTTCAGCCTGTTTGCCGCTTGGGGCGGAAAGGGGATCTACTAACGATGACGTCATGCGCAGGCCTTGTCTTCTAGGTGGTAGTGGCAGAGCGCGCACGGTTGCGCATCGCAGTGTCACCGCACCGTTTTCTTCCTGTTGTTTCGGATATAAGATAAAAGGGTCATAGACAAAATTATAGCTTACTGATTTGTCCCGGACAGAACGTTTCCGCGCTAAATGATCTCAACTAAAATATATTGCAACGAGACGATTCCCGGCAAAATAGTCTCAGAGAAAATGACGCCCGGTAAGGTGATTGCGCAAAAAAGATCCCCTAAAATATTATCCCGAACAAAATAGACGGTCTTCTAAAAAGATGATTCCGAACAAAAAAAGTCCCAGAGAAGATGGGCCCCGAAATCATGATCCCCGACAAAGTAATCCCCCAAGAAAAGGATAAAAAAAATTGTTCAAGAAAAAATGGGCCCCGGAAACGCGATCGACATGCTTTTAGGGAAAATGGTCCCGGACAAGATGATCCCGAACAAAACAGCCCCAGAGAAAATCGGCTCTGGAAACGTGATTCCAGACACCAGGATTCCAGACACCAGACACCAGGTGATACCAGGTAAAATGGTCCCGGACAAAATGGTTCCAAAAAAGATGATCCCGAACAAAAGTAGTCCCGGCGAAAATGGGCCCTGAAAAATTAATCCCGGCCAAAATAGTCCGAGGCTAATTGTCCCGGACAAAACGTTACAAAAAGATTATCCCAAACAAAATAGCCACAGAAAAAAATGGGCCCCGGAAACGTTTTTCCGGGCGAAGAATTTCCGGGAAATGGTCCTGTACAAAAGATATCAAAAAAAGATTATCCCGAAGAAAAAAAAAAAGTCACAGAGAAAATAGTTTTTGGTAACATTATCCCACGGAACCCAGACATAATGTTCCCCCCAGAAAATGATGCCGAACAGAATGGTTTCCAAAAATATGATCCCGAACAAAGTCCGAGAAACGTTTGGCCTCAGAAACACGTCATCCGGGACAAAATCGCACCGGGCTAAATGGTCCCGGACAAAGTGATCCCCAACACAATTATCCAGAACGACTCAGTACCTGAGAAAGTCGGCCCCAGAAACATTATTTCGGACTAAATGGTCGCAGGGAAAATGGTCCCGGACAAAGTGGTCGCTATAACGGTGAGCCCAAACAAAAAAGTCCAAGAGAAAATGGCACCCGGCAATCTGATTCCGGAGAAATTGGTCCCTGGCTAAGTGGTTCCGGACAAAATCCCCAGGAAAATTATCCGGAAAAAAATTGTTCAACAAAAAACGGGCCCAGGCACGTGACGCCCAAATAAAAAGAAAGTTATTTTTTTAGATGTCCGTAGTTAAGGTAATCCGACCCGCGATATCTGAAAACGGGGTCTAGATGCTTTACACTGCTCGCGCTCATGAGGTGAGGTTATCCGCCGAAGCGCGTATGCTAAACTTCCTCGCCACCCCCCCCCCACCCCCCCCCCCCCCCCTGTCAAAAACCAGGTGTCCCTTAGTTTCGCCTCCAAAAGGTCGATTGGCGATGTGTTCAACCTCTTTGTAAATTTCGTTTCAATCTCCTGTCCACATGGGCAGCGTGACGGCCGAGGAGGAGGAGGGCAGCGTTCCGGGAGGATGCCCCGCGCCCTGCTGCGCGACCTGAACGCCGCTCTGTCTTGCATGCTGTGCGGGGGCTACCTGGTGAACGCCGCCACGCTGGTCGATTGCCTCCACTCCTGTGAGTGTCTCTATCCTCTCTCCCTTTGGAAGACATCGATGGGGACGTGTCATCTCTCCTTCCTTGCAGTCTGCAAGGTGTGCATCGTGCGCTACTTGGACACCAGCAAGCTGTGCCCCATCTGCGACGTGCCCGTCCACAAGTCCAGGCCGCTCAGCTGCCTCAGGTAGGCGCATATACCATATCGGGTCACACTGAGTGGCGGTAAAAGCGCGATCGCTCCGCATCCTTGCTGGAAGGGCCGGTCGCACAGGTCTGCGTGCCTTCGTTTTCTGCCCGTGTTTCTACCCCCCCCCCCCCCCCCGACTCCTTCTCTCAGGGTGGACAAGACTCTGCAGGACATCGTCTACAAGGTGGTTCCGGGACTCTACCAAAGTAAGCGATGCTGTCAAGTGTTTCGAGTTCTATGGTGTCGGGACTGAAAGGCAAAACGCTTCACGACGGGAATGGCTGGATCGAAACGGGTCTTCTTGGCCTTGTCGCAAGAGTTCCCCGCCCCCTGACAGCCCACGTCCTCCTGGCTGCTCCATTCCTAGTGTAGTGTTTTGTTCCTCGGTGGGACTGCTAGGGTCGGCATGAGCATTCGTTGTCCTCTTTTTCCCCAGGGGAGATGAAGCAGCGCCGGGAGTTCTATGACCAGCACCCCGACGCAGGTAAGCACCGCCGTAGCATATGGATGGTCGGAGTCATGCATGCTGTCGCCAAATGAATCAACGCAGAACCCTCGCTGCTGTGGGATTGATGGGCCTTCGAGTTGCTCGCAGCAGCCTTCCACGTGTCAGCAGGGAGATGAGCTGAAATTCCGCGGATGGGCCATCAAACAGTATTTGCTATACTCCATTTCAGTAAGGCTTAACGAATGGCCAAAGTTGCGGCCCGCAGAAGTCAATTAGAGTGAAGAAGCGGAAGACGTGACTTCTCTACAGGGGAGTCCACCCTGACGGTACCTTGTCACGTGCTCCCCTTCGGCGATCTAAGTGACTCGCCGGGCCGTCCAAAGTCTTTGGCATTTAACAGCTTTTGCTGAAATATACTGTTGCCGCTGTTTTTTTTTTGTGTTATTATATGATTGGCGGTTTTATTCTTAAAGAAATGCCCTTGACTGTATACGTTCTTACCTCGTTTTGGCCTGTGTTCTGTCGTTGTTAACGTTTGGTGGGTTGTTCCGAGGGCGAGGAGCAGGCAAGCTGGTTCCCTTCCACCGCACTTATCCTGCGAACCAAGTAGTCGTGATTGTTATCAACTGTATAGTACCATTCCTTAACTTCAAGGGGGAAGACGGACGTGTTCCGGCCCTTTGGTTGGCCCTCTGTGGGCGTCTCAGCCACCGCGTGAATGGACCTGACGCCGCCCTTCTCTCTTTCGGCTCGTGCACTGCAGCCTCCAAGGTGCCGTGCCTCGAGGACCGCGGCGTGGTGGAGGCCTCTAGCAGGCTCATCTTCAGCCCCCAGGACACCGTTAGCGTGTCCCTCGAGTACTTCACCGGGTGAGTACAGGATGGGCACGACACGACTTATCTCAAACCCTCTTCACGAGATGACCCTCCGATCATCCGTTTGCTTGTCCGACGCTTCTCCGGAAGTGACGCTTCGAGCACCACCGGCTGTTTGTTTGCAGGGAGTTCTTGAAGGCCCATAAACAGATTTTCGTTTGAGCACGATGCGTTCAGTTGTGACAAGCGACCGCATAACGTTGCGGAGAATGTTCGCAGAAAGCTTGGGCGCACAGTTGCGTTGAAACCCAGTCGACTGAAGTCGAGGTGCCAATAAGCAAGTGCCGTCGTCGCTTCGGGTTCTCCAGCAGTGAGCGAAATCCACGACAACATGGCGGCACCCGGCGGCGGCGTCAAGGTTGGTCGAGGAGGTGGCCGATCTTGGGACGACCCCGCAGGCTTCCGCGACTTCTGTCCAGCGTGTACCATTTAAAAACCCGCCGCGTCTCCATTAGGGCTGGGCAGTTGATCAATTAACTTCAGATGGACGCTGGAATCGCAAACAATTTAATATAACTGCATGTTCATCGGTTGGGTTCGTAATGTGACAAATTCCCGAGCAAAGTACAGGGTGTCACAAAGGAAAATTTACACGGTCTTTTTTACCGCAAAAATAAACTAGGCATCGCCGAACGCTCATTCTCCGCCCAAAGGTAGAGCTAGAGGTCACAACCAGATGCCAAAGTTTCAGCCCGATCTGATAACTTAATCAAAAGTTATAAGTTATTTTCTGAAAAGTTCAATGGAAAAATGGAGCCCATTTTTGCCTGTTTTCGGTTTCTGGCGCCATAGAGCCCCATGTGTCTGAAAACTCTGTCGGCCGCCATTTTCCCATTGAAATTTTCAGAAAACCACTTATAACTTTTGATTAAGTTGTCGGATCGGGCTGAAACTTTGGCATCTGGTTGTGACCTCTAGCTCTACCTTTGGGCGGAGAATGAGCGTTCGGCGATGCCTAGTTTATTTTTGCGGTAAAAGAAAACGTGTAAATTTTCTTTTGTGACACCCTGTAGAATACCTGCTTTATTAGTTGGATATTTTAATTTTGGGAGGCAGCATTATTCTGGCTTTCGCGCTATAGATTTTTGGCATTCTCTACGACTCATCCAGAGTCATTATAAGATCAAAGTATTTCGATAATTTAATTTTCTGGAGAGGGGTTTGGAAGGTGCAGAGCGTCCAGTTTCAAATGAAGCTGCATATTCCACTATACCAACGCATTTTAGGGAAAAAAATTTTAAGTGAAATTTCGGCACATTTTTAGAACCAACCAGAAGGATCGCGTGACTCTGCATGGTTCCCATAGCTCCTCAAAAGACGAAATCAAGAACCCGCCGTTCAACGGTGAACTGGATGCGCGTCGCTGACGAGCGCGGGGAAGCACAAGGCTCCTTTTTCTTGGCTCCTGATCGGTGTTCCGCAACACACCGCGATAGAAATTTGAGCCCGGCTCTATACATACGTGCGTCGCACTGAGCGATGGCGGTCTTCCTATCGCAAGCAAACACTCGCTGCCGCCAAGAGGCTGCTCCGTACTCTAACGTAAATGTGAGGATGGGCCTCGAAACGCGAGAGTTCCTGCATTTGTGACTCGTGGATATACAGTGCGAAAGGTTTTCTTCGTGGAGAGAGAGAAGCATAGTCGTTGTAAATATAAAACTAAACTGAACGTGGAAATATGGCACCACCTTCTGCGCAGCTGTGGACGAAGTCTGTTTCGTCGATCGATTGCAATACTTAAAAAAAAGAAAAGAAAGAAAAGAAAACAAAAAATAACAAGTACTTAAAAAAAATACGTCTTTTTTCCTTTTTTTTTTTTGGGGGGGGGGGGGGGAGGTTAGTTGCGAGCTTATCTTAAAATACTATCGTGGAGGCAAAACTGAACGGCTTATGGCGAATTCCACGGGTCGTTTTGGAGCGCGCCGGGATCGACTTTTCTGGAACGAGCCTATTTCACTAAGCGATCGGGATCGAGACCGACGTGTTTCACTTGGTCGTTTTGGATTAGCTCCTACTCCAGATCTCGATCTGGATCCGAGAAAAGTCGCTCCCACGATTTCGGCGGATTCAGCCGGACGCCAGCCGGGCCAGCCCTCGGCTCACACACGTGACTTCCTTTCTCGTGGGGCATCTCGCCTGATCTCGCCCATCTCGCCTCAGAAGAAGAAGAAGCACGTCGCAGGCAGGGCTCCTAGATTGTCTAGACATCAGAAGAATTGGTAATGGTCGCTTGGTTACCCCTTGGCTCGACAGCCGGTTCGTTTTTCAGGAAGAAAAAGAGAAGGTATTTGCCTCTCTACGGGCATTCCGGCAATCTTTGCTAGAAGCGCCTGAGCCACTCCTGCCGCTCGTGCGTCGAAAACGTGTTAGCGCCGGGATTGCGAAAACGTCTTCGAAACGACCGCGGCGGCCGCGGAGAGGGGATTCCCGGGCAGTTGAATGACGGGAAGGTATCCGCCGATCCCGGAGCAGTGGTCATTGTCCACCACTGGGGATCCGTAGGCGGCGCGACCCCCTTCGGATCGTGTGCTCCAGTCCGGATCTGGTCAACTGATCCCGGCGCGCTCCAAAACGCACAGTGGAATTCGCCATTAGTTAAATGTCAAGTAAACACTCAGCAAATAAGTTATTGTATAGACGCTATTTCGAAAGATTTCTGCGATTTCCAGCCTGGATAATTTGACATCGAACTCTGGGTACCACGACTCGGCGTATGAGGAATTGGCCGCATATTAGTATACTGTAAGAAGGAAAATTCCTATTAAAAAAGTTAGGAGGAACGAGAAAAAAAAAAAAAAAGGCAACAACGTTTGACACGCGTTGTCCATCCCCGTTTCGCCTTCGTTCTGACGCTCGGATGTTTTTTTGTACTCTAACCGTATCTCAGGGTAGTTTCGCGTCCTGGTAAACTTCCACCACTTCCCGCTCAGTTCTATTCCATGACTGACCATTGCGCCTTCATTACTTCGAGAGTTATGTCAACTAGTGCTCTATATTGGGAGCTAATGTTTAGAGGTTCGTTTCGGTCATCGGCAGATAGGTTGGTGAGCTATCGCCCCGTCTGTGTTTTCCTGAGATTGCGCTCGACAAAGACTGCAGTGTCGATCCCAGAAGCTATGACTGTCGAGACCGGCTATAATAAAGTCAACGGCAGTCGGAAATCACTTCGGTATATCCGCTATTTCGTTATTACCAAGTGAGGTTATAACGAAGTGCAAAGGGAAATGGGAAATCGTGATCGCCTCGCTGTAGCCGCTATTTCTTTATAACCGACTTCGTTATAACCGGTCTCGAGACAGTATACCTGTTTATTGAGTGTGGTCTCTGGGGTGCTGATCCCCTGCGTCCCGGTCATCACGTGACCTCTCCCGCCTGTGCAGCACGTCGCTGGCGGCTCACGAGTCTGAAGACGAGGGCAAAGAGGGCGCTGCCAACGCTGACGGTGACGGGGTAAGTTAAGCCTTGCGGGTCTTGCCTCTCCCTCTCAAGGACGAGCTTGTGTTCGAATGCCATAGTGAAATTTCCGAAATGGATTTTGAAGGCCGGTCAGGCCTCTGCCGGGCTGCTCTCGCCTCGAGAAATTCGAACGTGCCGGCTTCGCAATTCGTACCTTGAGATAAAGAATGCACGCAGGTCGTACACATACCCACGGTAGGAAATATTCGTGCCAATACCCTCGACAAAAAGCAATTTTCGTACTTTCGTAAACCAATGAACAACTTTAAATATATATCTTTCTAGTTGACGCATATAGAAACGTTGATTGTGTACACCTTGCTTGATTGGTTTCACGCGCACATCAGGTCACGAAGCACGCTAGAGGTGAAGAAAGGTAAAAGACGCACGGCGAGCTGGTGAATGACATCCACACTAACCCTAAGACGTAAAACAACACAAAAAACATTTTCTTCTGTGTTTTTTTTTACGTCTCAAGGTTTCTATGGACGTTAGAGGTATTGTGGAATCAGCTATTCTTCATGCTCCATTGTTATGGGTTCCCTTTAATCTACCTTATATTACATTAAACATGTACTTTATAAGATTTACTGAAAGTATATTCCGGTATGATACTGTGATACAAATATTTCGACAATACATGTTGGTGTTATAAGTGCGAAATACGCTTTTAGCGTTTTTCTTCCCGTCAGGGCCCTCTCGAGAAGCAAAGACGGGTAAATTATGAGGCTAGCTCCGGGAACAGCGAGTGGCGCATGTCGTGGCGAAGGATGGTGCCAGACGTCGCCCCTGCGCGAGTTTCCAAAAATGCCCTAGCAACCGCCTTTTTTTTTTTTTTTTTTAAAGGTTGAAAATTGTTAAGCGAGGACACTCGGAGTGAAGAACGAACTACGCATCACGTTCTCGAGTGCGGCTGATGTCAGGGCGCGAGTGTGGCGTGATGAGAATTATTGAAATCCTTACCTAACATTTACTACAGTCGAATCTCCTTGCTTCAAACTCGAGGGGGACCAAAACATTTGTTTGAATAAAGCAAAGTTTGAATTACCTGAAGTTTCCTCCCATAGAGACGCATAGGATGGGACCTGCATGTTAGTATGAATTATCCACAAGTTTGAATTAACGAGATGCGACTGTACTTAGCTCTTTAGAGTTCGGCTTCAGCTGGCATATTATCGTCAAAAACAATGATCTGCCAAGATAAGCGAGGCAAGTGGGTATTTAGGTTTAAAAAAAAAAATCGTGCGCTCCGCACACGAGCTATAATTTGAGTCAATTTTTCCCGCATATTTGTACGCGATGATGCGCTCACAACTGGGGATCTTCTTCAAAGGAGAGGCTGTGTGCAGGGGTGTGCGCCAAAACAACGTCGAATGTTCCTGATCAGAGTACACCAGCAAATAAGAACTTTTTTTTTTTTTTTTGCTTTGAAGCGACGCGTTTAGATAAGTGTAAAAAATAAAAGTAAGCGAAAAATGCGCGTGAAAGGATAATCCGAGGAAACTGAAAGTGAGACAGTTAAGAGTTCCTGCCGTTCAGAAATCCACAACATGCTTTGAGATCTAACACACTCTATACGAATGGCTGAAATCTCAGGCACTGTCGAATGAAAGAAAAAAGAAAGAAAAAATCAGACGAAGCCGGCTTTTTTGAGTAATTGAGAGAAGAGATACGGCTGTAAAAACTCGACGCACTAAACGTATACA